TTGTCCCCCACTCCCTTCCGGTGTGCATGCGGAGGGGCCCCGCCAGAGCTGCCCTCCGGTCCATCTACGCACGGCCCTCCTCCAGCATGGGTTTGGGGGCCCACGGGGGGGCGAGGGGTGGGTGTGGGAGGCAGCTCAGAGCCCTGCCCAGGTCTCCTGAGTGACCTTGAAGGACACGGACCCAGTCGCAGCCATCTTTCAACTCACAGGGAATTGGGGGCATCTTTAACTCCCGAAGGGACACAGGACCTTGCTGACCACCGGGAGTCTCGCTCCATTTCCGGACCCTCCGTGTCTCAGCCCCCCTGTCTCCCACACACAGCGGGTGTCTGCTTCCTGGCGGCATGGGGTGCGCAGTGGCTTCATGGGATGGGGTAAATGGCGAAGTGGAGGCCACACCCCCCGCCAGGGGACGATCCCACCGCCCCCCGCCACGGCAGGCCGGCTCGACGCGGCCCACGGCCTCCCTTGCTCCTGAATGTTTAAGAGAAGCCGAAAACCTGGATTCCCAGGCAAGCCATCCAAGTTTTAAATGTGAGATGCTAATTTCACATTTTTAAACAACAAAAACCCATCTCCAGGGAGAATTCCCACCCGTGGCTTGCCAGGGCGTGTTCAACCTCTGGCTTCAAGTCAGTGGAGGGGCTGGGGGGGAGGGGGCGTCCCCAATGTGTGGTGGACATGCGTGCCCTCCCCTCTCCCCCCTCCCCCGCCGCCGTCTTTCAGAACGTACAGGGTGGATGGAGACACCTGCTCCCCCCCCCCGCCCCCACCCCACCGAAGTCAGGGCTCACGGAACTGAAAACTGGGTATCTGCAGCCCTCACCCCACCATTCTATCCTCCTATCGAGAGCAGGACGGGGCCACAGGTCATTCTGGAAACACCAGGGGTGTCCTGGCCTCTAGGCTGTGTGACTTCACCAGCTTAACCAGCGTGGCCAGCGGGAGCTGAGGCCGCTAGGACCGTCACCCCGGTGGTGGGTAGAGTGGCTGGTCTCCGTGTGGCCCAGCTGGGGGGGGACTGGGGCGGGCGGTCACCCTGGCAGCTGGCAGGGTCTCCGGGGTGTGTCCTGAGGTCTGGCATTGGTGACCAGGCACCTCCTTCCGATCTGCTTATTATTGCTCAATCTTTTCATTTCCCGCCACACTACTGACGGAAGAATCTTGATCACATCTTTTGCTAACTAGGGTTTCCTATCTTTCTTCCGTTTGTCTATATTCTCAATTTTCTTTCAGTCAGCTTTAAGCCATTTCTGCTGGCCGGGTTGGCGTCTGGCTCCCAGCCTGACTGGCAGGGGGTGGAAAGCCACCGCTCGGGTCTGTGCCAGGCAGATACCTGACCACTGGCGTCCTGGCACAGCTGGTATTGGCACGGCTTACTGGTAGGAAACCAAACGTACACAGCAGGTAGGGAGACAGGAGTCACAATGCGGGGACCAGGGGCAAAGCTGACTCACGGAAGCTGGTTCCTAAGAACCTTCGTTGCCAGGAGGGATTCAGGTGTGATTAAGAATCTGATTCCCAACGCTTTCCAGGGAGCTGGAAAGGTATTTGCAGATAGTGTTAAGTGTAGCAAACCGGACGTCGGATACACTATCACCCAGGCCAGATCTCAGACAGAACCGTCCCCCCCCCCCACCTTGGCATGGGCTGGTCCTGGGACCAGCGATCAGAAAGGTGTCTGGAAAACAGTCCCTGAAATGTGGCGAAGGGAGACAAGGACCAAGTGAGCAAATGCCCTGGGAGTCGGTGGCCAGCCCCTCCCCATCCCACCCGCCCCCTCGCATCAAGGAGAGAAGGAGAGGGCAAGTCTGCAGACCTGCAGCTGACCGACCCCGCCCGGCCGCTGCTCTCCCAGCCCAGCTCTAGGAGGACAATTCACGCCACCTTGCCACCACAAGCCGGCCATGCTGGGGGACCCCCTGGGTGCGGGAGGGGGGCGGCTGCTGAACCACGGATCCCAGAGACAGCCGGACACATGGCCACTTAGTAGTGAGGCAGCCAAAAAGCATCTCTGGGACGGGCTACTTCTGTGGAAGGAGGGAGTGGAGGTGACACCCACAGAGGGGCGCAGGGTGATCGTTTCCGTGATGCCACCTCCCCGGGAATGGCGTGCGAGCTTGGAGATGGTTCTGCTCTCCTCCCCCCTCCGTGCCGTACCAGATTGAACACAGGGTTCCACACCGGCTAGGCGGCTGGTCTACCATTCCAGCCACACCCATCCCTTCTCTGCTTTAGTTACGTCTCCGATGTGGGGGGTCTCACGCTGTGGCCGGCCCCAGACCATCTTCCCACCTCTGTTCTCGCACGATCAGAGATGCACGCTACCAAGCCTGGCTTCCTTCTGAGATTAGGGCCTCCCACCTCGCCCCGGCCTGGCTTCCAGCCGCCATCCTCCGGTCTCTGCCTCCCGCGCCCCGCGCTCTGCTCTTACTGGTTTTTGGTTGTCTGGCTGTCGGAGCGCTCCTCTCCTGTCTGCTGCGCTCCGTGCTGAGCACTGCGCTCTGGGCAGAGCGTGGGTGAGGGCGCGGCGGGTGCACCCCATCGTCCATCCGGGGCCCCTCCCTGACGCGCCAGGCTCTCCTCCCTCATAACCCGGGACACCGGCCCGGGCCTCGGCGGAGCGAGCGAGCAGCGGGCATTTCCAGCTGCAAGAAGGGATCAGAAGGGGCTGAAATAGTCCCAGAGCAGCTGACGTCCACCGACTCCCCAGGAGGCGGCCGCGCGCCCGTCCTCCCTCGCGCCCTCCCCCCCCCCAGCGGGCTGATGACGTCACAGAGCAAGCCCGCCTAGACTCACACTGCATCTCCTCCATCCACACACGGTTACACCTCAAGGACTTAAACAGCCTCCTCGGGACAGGCTGTTGTGTGTCTGTCTGTCTGTCTGTCTGTGAAAGATTTACTGAGCTGGTATTCTCTGGTGTCTGGTACTCTCACTCAATTCCCACTTCTTATCTCCCGGCCAGCGTCTCTGTGGTTCCCAAACTGGCTAGGAGGTCTGCTAGGGATCACGGCTGTGGGGCTGGCGCTGGGCGCTCCCAACATGGAGATGTCAGCCCCGGCCGATTTCCGAGCGGCTCACCGTGAAGATGGATGGCCCCCAAAGCGCAGGGCCTGCGCTGGAAATTAAAAACCCATGGGATAGCTGATGATGATTAATTTTAAGTACTTAGATGTCGCATCAGGCCCGGCGCGAAGAAGAGCATTTTTAAAAACAGAGCTATCGATCCGCCTTTGTGCAAAATCGAGAGGATAAACTCGTCAGACGCCGCGGGGCGGGGTGTGTGGTCCTGTCTCTGATGGGGGTCTCATGCTTTGGCCCTAGGCTGTGGGGTGGCGTGGGGGGGGTGGTAAATGGGAACTTTCATTTTGATGACTTTATACTTTTGGTCATTCATGGCTCTCTAAGCTTTTCACTTGTAGCTGGAGATCATTTTCCCCTTCCCTAACAGATACCGGCTGGTTCTGGGTTCCGTCCTGGGTAGGTGGGGTGGACGGGAGGGGGTGAGGGCAGGGCTGGAGGGGAGGGGGTGTGGGAAGGGCCTCGCACGGACTACTGGAATCATCTCTTCTCCAGGGAGGGAGAGGATTCAGAGGTTTGAATTGAGGCACGGTTGGTTGTGGGTAAAGCCCCAGGGAGGGGGGAGGGAGACCACCCTCCTGAGCTCGCAGGGTGCGGCCAGCGGGCAGTCACGGGCAGTCGGTTCCCGGTTCTGGTGTGACCTCACCTTGCGGGGCTTGGGGGAGGGGGGCTACGAAGGCGTTTCACGGGCCGTGGCCTCCGGTACGAGCAGTCCTGCCTTTCTAAGACTGGACGGGCACGTGCTTCCCCACGGACAGGCATTCCTGGCCGGTTCCGGGGTCAGCACGTGGGTGAGGAAAGACCGTGCGTCCTCAGCAGGACCGGCTGAGCTCCGTGAGCCGAGCCTTCCCAATGGGCGGCTCTGGGCTGGCATGCCCTCTCCAGCCGCTGGCGGCACCAGAGCCCCCTGTTTATATCCGGCGTTCGGCTCCGGGCAGGCGGAGGGGCTCTCCCCAGCCACGACTTGGGGTCTTGTGGGCTGGGTACAGGAGGGCGGGGGGGGGGACCTTGTGCACGGGGGAGGGGGGCACTGCGGCGTGCGCATGTGTTCACTCACGCAGGAAACCCTGACTCGGTCATTTTGCTGCCTGTCCCCCCCCCAAGGGATGCGCCACCAACCCCATCTCTCATCATGGAGCGGCTAGCACTGTAACCGCTCCGGCAAGATGTGGAGAGGGGCGGACATTACCGCCAGGGTGGACCAGCAACCCCTTCACCGTGCGACGCAGAACAAGGAGACAGGACAGGGCTGGGAGGCCGGTGAGGGGCGCGGGGAGGACAGGTGGGGCGTGGGGCATCTCCTGGCAGTGCCCCATGAGCCTGGCGCCTCCCCCCCCCCAGACCTCTCCGGGCCGGGACAGCCCTGCGAGAGAAACAAAACGTTCCCGCACACAACCCAACTTCCGTGCCAGTGACCCCAGGCTGGCTCCGTTTCCTTGGCTAGAACCCTGGACACCGACCCCTCGCTATGTGCATTCTGCTTCCGGAAGGCACGGCGCGTGGGTGACGGGCCGGCACGCCCCTCTCACCCCTCCCCTCCCACTACTTGGTTTCTGCCTGAAGTTCAAGTCCAACGCCGAGCCAAACACCCCGGGGCACACTCCCTGGGTGGGTGGGCGCGGTGGGGAAGGGGGAGCTCCGGCCCCTCCTCCTCCAGACCCTCATTACCAGGGTCCCCCCGGCTCGGGGACGGCAGCCTCCCCCCCACCCCACGCTCTGGCCGCCCGCAGATACTTTGGCCAAGGTGAACAGAAGGATCTCCGGGCGCTGCAGCCGGGGAGACCGCGTGATGGCCCCGCACGCCGTCTCCCCACTCCGCTCCCTGCACAGTGCGCACACACACACGCACACACACGCACACACACGCGCACATCCCCCCCCCCCCCCCCCCCGCTGCGACTGCAGATTCAACTCACAGGATCTCCAGGTCACGCAGTGCTCGGAAGGCTCCGTCCTCGATGCAGCTGATCTGGTTGTTGTCCAGTTGCCTGTTTAGAAAGCAAGGGACATGGTGAAGGCTGAGCAGGGGGACGGGGCAGCCCGGGGCCACCCGGCTCGAGAGAGACAGAGAGAGAGACAGAGACAGAGGGAGCGCCGGAGAGCCGGCCAGGGAGAGGGCCGGCAGCGCGAGAGCGGAGCCAGCGCCGTCCCTCCTCCGCCCCCTCTGGGCTCCCGCAGAGCCGCTGTCTGTCTGCCTCTGCCCGTCTCTCCCTCTCTCCTCTCCGTCTGAGATGACGGCCTGGCCCGGGCGAGCTCACCAAAGGCTGGCAGGTCTCAGTAAATATTAATTGCGCATTTTTTTTTTTAGGCAGAAGGGAGTAATTTCATTACATTAGGGCATCCAATCCATTACACGCTCTTACTGTCATGTCACCGAAACAATTTCATTAAGCTAAAGGCCTGTAAATCATTGGAGGTCAGCGCTCTGCCCCGCACGACCTCCCGGACACCCCCCCTCCCTTCTCCCTCCGTTCCCTTCCCTGGAAATTGCCACAGCGCTAAATCTCCAGGCCTGATCTGCCCGGCAGCGGCCTGGGGGGGGGCGCGAGGGGGGGATGGACCCCTTCTAAATTAGACCCCACGAATCTAATTTTATAGTCTTGTTATTATTCTAAGCACTGACTGCCTGCGGTGGTCTGCCGTCTCCGCTCCCTGTAATGCTCCCCCTTCCCCCCCCCCCCCCCCCCGCCCCAAAACACTTCCTGACTAAACACAGACCCCGGGGGGCTAGACCAGCCTCCCTGGACGTGGAGGAAACTCTGGCATGATGGGGGAGAAAGAGGAGCAGAGGAGCGGCCCACGGCCTTAGCGCCTTGCCACAGACATCCAAACCAGGCAGACAGGGTCCCTCTGGAGTCCCCCCCTCCGCCGCCCCCCCTGCTGTGCAAACACGGCCTTTGAACAGACACCTCCACGACTGGGGAGCCGACTCTTTTTTGTTGAGGCAAAAGAAAATGCATCTTCTCTAAATCCAGAGATGTGCATTATGAAGTCGGGGCTACTTACCCCACCCCATTTAAATGTGTCATATGTTCACATAGGTGTACGTGCACGCTTGCGTATTTCTTATGTACTAATATCTCATTGAATCCCTAAAAACAACAGAAGAGCCGGGCCACAGGGGACGACCCTTAAAACCCGATGCCTACACCTCCTGCGGAGCCTTTGGGTGGAAAGTTCGGGTGAATGAAAGTCAGGCTGCGGTAAGGCTCCATGGGTGTGCCTACCTTCCCCTCACCTTGGGACACACACACACACGCACACACACATACACACACACACCTCTCAGATGAGAGGATGTGCTGTGCACCACAAACACCGTCCATGACCCGGTGCGGACGGCGCTGTTAATTTTTATCAGATGGAAAGTAGGATGTGATCGTTACTGAGAGAAGAAGGTGCGGGTGCAGCACGGTGTGGCCGTGTCTGAGCAGGGCACCCCGAGGCCGGGCAGCGGCGGGTTATGCCCCTCCGCCCGCTGGGGGTGGAATCTGTGAGCCGGGGGGACATTTCACGGCACCAGGCCGGGATGATGAGGACTGACAATGAGACCAAGTGGCACACCGGATGTCCACATTCCCCCATGGCCCCGAGGCGGCTAATGTTGGAGCCACCGGCTCTCAAGGGGGCCCCTGCCTGCCACACCCCCTCCCCGGCCTGTTTCCCGCATGATGTTTCTCCTTCTTTGGGCTTCCGCGGGGCCATGCGGCCCCACCTCCAGATTTATCTTGGGGTAATAAAGGTGGATGAATCACCGCCCCCCCTTCCCCCCCCGGTGTGGACAGAGGCGCCGGGCCTACCAAGCAGAAACGTGGTCCAGTTGGCTTCGGCTCCCAGAAACTCTTCAGGGAACATGCTGAATTCGGCAGAAAACGTGGCCTGTTGGGCCCGTGCCTCTAAATCGTCGGGTGAGGAGCGACGGCCCCCGCCCCGCCCTAGCAGTGTCTCGCTCTTCCAGCCTTGTTACTGTCTGCTGGGTTCTTTTCATTTTGGGACACACCGAATCCAGGGGGAGACTCTAAAGATGCACCTTTTCCTTGTGTGTGTGGAGGGGTAGTGTGTGAAAAAAGGGATCTTCTGGGGTGGGAGAAAGTTATAGGAAAGGAGAAGCGGGGGAAAAATTCCAAGTGGTGAAAGGAGAATTAAAAAAAAGGGGCAGATGAGTCATGGAAGATCTAGAAGGTTCTCTGGGAACACACACAGGGCTCTGACACAGCCTTGCTTCCCAGGCCAAGGGGGCATGTCAGAGATGGAGCCTGGGGGTCCCCACGGGGGTGGTGATACCCGGCCACACACGACACGGCACTCACACATGGGCGGTGGGCACACAAGCCACCGCCATGCTGTGTATTCAGAAAGGGGGAAACAGCCGTGACGGCAGTGGCCCGACAGGTGCATTTCCACCGTTGATGTGAACACCGATGAGACGTGCCGAGACCTACAACAGTCACACTGAAGCGCGCCCCCCTGGCCCACGCGGGTCATGCTTGAGCTGGCCTCCATTCCGCTTGCTCACAGACTCGCCTGTGGGGTGGTGGACGTTGCAGTGTTTTACCCCGGGCGGCCATGACCCGAGCTCACCCTCTGCATTCTGAGTTCTCAGGTCAAAGGTCCCCACTGTGTCTTCGAAAGGACTCGAAGACTTGCTCACCCCACAGAGGCCACGGGATCTCGGCTGAACCACTGAGCAGAAAGCGGTAGGCCGAGAACCATGCACCCCCGTGGCGCTCTGTGGCCTTTCCCGTGGTTCTGAGTTGCTATGAGCATTGGTTTCCTCTCAGGCCGTGTCAGGCTCGGCACCTCCCTGAGACCCCGGCTTTCTGAGACTCAGATCTCTACCCGAGAGCACCCGAGAGGGACCCGGAGAACAAGATGGGGTTGGCAGAGTCCCCAAGGGGGTGTCGAGGACCGAGGGCAGAGGCCTGGGTAAGCACGATGCCCCTCTTTGCGGGGACTTTTGCTGTCCTCGGTGTCATCCACACACAGCCCTGTTTGGTGTCCCATTCCCTCCCCCCCCCGTCTCTGAATGACCAGACAAGCCCCAAACGTTTCCCAATATCAAAGTGACTCTAATTCCCCAGGGAAGCTGGATGTCAGCAAACAACACAAGCTGAAAATGATACCACGGTCCATTCGGAGGAACTCCGCAGATGAGACCCCAGCGCAGATGCCTGAAGTCTGCCCCAGCCTGCTCTCCTGACTCCTGTGCTTTCCTCCTCTGAGAATACAAACAAGCCAGGAAGGAGAGCCAGCGAGAACGCGGGCTTAACATCATCTCCACAGGCACGGAGCAGGGCATGTGTGTGCGTGTGTGTGTGTGTGTGTGTGTGTGTGTGCGTGTGTGTAGCACATGTCCGACAGAATCCCTGCTTCTAAACATAACACTCTCATTATCGCCGCTCAGCCTGCTCGATTACAATTCCAAAGCTCGTAATTGTAATGGCATAGGAATAGTTAGTTCTTCAGCCGCTCAAAGACTTAAGTACATCTAAATCCTTAAGTCACCCCCCAACAATAATCAGAGAGAGAGAGAGAGAGAGAGAGAGAGAGAGAGAGAGCACACTTGCCTGGAGAACAGCAGATGCTCCAACCAGTTAGCTGCACACCAGGTCTGCCCCCTGGCATGTCTGCGGGGCTGTCGCCCACCCGGCCCTGCCAGGGCTCCTTGCTCTGGGACTGCATGGAACCAATCCAACAGGGCTGAGACCAGAAGTTCGAGTCCAGGGTAGAGAAGAAGGTGAGGCGGGCTTCAAGAATACGGACGCCGGCTACCTCACCTGCGGTTTTAAGAGTCTGGATTTGCTTCTAATAAGCTTCATGTGTGCGCTTACACACGTGTATTTGCACGTGTAAGGACAGAGATGCACACACACACACACAGGCACGCACACATTTAAGGTGCTTTTTTTTCTTTTGGGCTGGGGAGAGTTGGTGGTCGTTATAAAGAGAATACCAGGCACTTCCTGCTTCTGCAAACAAAGCCGAGGACAAACACGTGAAGACTTCTGCTTCCCCGTCACCCAGTTGTCTTGAAAGCAGAACATAAGAAAATCTAGCAGGGGCAGCACAGTGCTTTTCCCCTTTCAATGACAGTTTAACGTGCTAGAAGCATCATTACGGAAGACTACGTTGCCGACGAGTTTGTCTGCTGTTGGGGGGGGGTGGTCTATCCAAAATACAAATAAAGCTCAGCGTTATTTTAACTGGCCAGTGAAGAGGGGAAAAAAAAGTATGTTCCAAAGAAATGACAGACGTCTCATAAGTGAGGGCCGGTCACAGGTGCAAACGGACGCCTTGATCTGAGCCACGATCTGCTAATGAGGGGCTGCTGCTTCCCCCATCATTAGGATGTGATTCTACTCGAATCCGCCACCTCCAACCAGCAAGAGGAGGGGCACACCTATTCTCTGACACGTTTAATACACTCTTCCACCAGACCCGAGAACACACAGCTATAGATATGTTTACCAATCCGTGAATCATGGAAGGGCCGGCAAAGACTCTGCCTACAGAATTGACAACTTGAACACACGCACATAGAGAGCTGCGTAGAATTTCTCCCTACGGCGGGCCTGTAATTCCAAATGTATCTGACAGCGCAGGTTAAGTGCGGACTCTGACACTTCCCGCACGCGTATTTGCGGCGAGAGTTAGGTGATTGTTACCTAAAGACTTCCATCAAGCAAACTCCACTTCGTAAGGGACGCGGCCCTCGGTGGAGTGAAGCTCTGCATCACAGTGCTTAGCCTTTGACCTGGCGGACGCCTCCACGGGCGTCTCACAAGGGCGTGCTCCCGGTCCGTGTGGTATGGCACCTGCACTCAGTGCATTCAGCGTCCCAGCGGGGGTGGGCAGCACGCGCTGGGGGACACACCGGAGCCCGGCGATGGATGGGTGACACACACCTGACCTTTGAGTGTGAAGCAGAGTCTGCATACCCCGGTCTTCCCCCCTCCAAAGCCACCCCACGGCATGCCTGTGTCTCTAC